TGAATCAGTTGCTTCATGCCCCCCCCCCCCCTCCTCTTTTCAATATCTTCCCCGTTGAAAGTTTTTCCGGGGCATTCATGCTGTCAGAACGCATAGTTGCACAACATGCGTCTGTGCATGGCACACAATTACGCGATGCGTAATTATGCACATGGGGAATTGAGTGGCAAGACGTTTTTTGGGCAAGCTTCCGCTTCTTACTGGGTTCGAATGGACCCAGTGAGGCGAGGACCACATCCGCTTCGCCCTTAACCCATCAGCGACAGCCTTAAAGGGCGAAGCCTATATGACATAGAACGTTGGTTACGTACTGTAACCCCAGATTCTATGAATATAGGCGTAGCCCTTTAAGCGTCGGGCCTCACTGGCTCCTGAATAGCTGAAGAAAAGAATAAGCTATTTGGGAGCAGATTACCCGCTCTTAACGTAATTTATACGGATCGGGTGGGGCCCACACAGCAGGTGGGCGTGGACTAATTTTTTCAGTACGATGCTTGCGCATAACGGGATAAACCCATCAGCGACAGCCTTAAAGGGCTACGCCTATATTCATAGAATCTGGGGTTACAGTACGTAACCAACGTTTCAGAAGCTCAGAGAGGTAAAGGGGTGTGAGGCCATTTAAGCATTTGAAGACTATCCTCGTACGAACAGGGAGCCAGCGAAGGGAGGACAGAACTGGAGTAATATGTTCAGACCTTTTTTTTTTACATCATTTGGAAGCCCAAATGATGTAAAAATAAACAAATAAATACTTGAAATTGATTAAATTGTGGGCCCTGAATCTATCATCTATTAAAGATTAACTTTTTGAATGGAATTATATAAGCTAAACAACTTTTCCATGATATTCTAATTTTTTGGAAAGGGTCTGTATACTGAAAGTGATTGTATTATATTAAAATTGAATTCAAATCTGGGGCACACTGTTGTAGACGAAATTGGCTTGCATATTTTTTAAGCAACTTGTTTACCATCTTGTTCAGTAGACTGAGATTACTTTGGTTAAGTAAGGAGTACTTTCAGGAGGATTAATCTGCACAAGCCAACCGGCCCAGACAACATCCACGGGAAAGTGTTGAAAGAATGTGCCGATCAGCTCTGCGAGGTGCTGGAAGACATCTTTAACACCTCACTTACCCTGGAGGCAGTTCCCATCTGCCTGAAGACAACCACCATCATCCCAGTCCCAAAGAGCTATACAGTGACTGGTCTGAATGTCTATTGGCCAGTGGCCCTCACCCGATAGTCGCTAAATGCTTCGAAAAACTGGTAATGACCCACATCAAAACAAACATCAACATCAATGAGGACCCTCATCAGTATGCATAACGTGAGAACCGATCAACAGAGGATTCCATCTCCTCTGTGGTCCACACTGCTCTCACCCACCTGGAGCAGAAGGACTCCTACGTCCGTCTGCTCTTTGTGGACTTCACATCTGCCTTCAACACCATGATCCTCCAAACTCTGATGGACAAACTTCTCACACTAGGACTAAGCCCCTACATTTGCAACTGGGTCCTGGACTTCTTAACCAACAGACCTCATTCTGTGAGGATCCACAACTTTTCCTCCTCCACCATAACCCTCAGCACTGGCTCTCCTCAGGGATGTGTGTTGAGCCCTCTCCTGTTTACTCTGCTAACGTATGATTGTGCAGCTACTCATCCAGACTGTCATACTGTAAAGTTTGCAGACGATACAGCGGTGGTGGGATGCATCACAAACAATGAGTCCAGCTACAGGCAAGAGGTGGAACACCTGGAGAGCTGGTGCAAAGAAAATAACCACATCATCATGAAGAAAACAAAGGAGATGACCATGGACTTCAGAAGGAACAAACACACCTACACCCCCCTGAAAGAAAAAGGATCTGCGGTGGAAGTGGTCTCCAGCTACAAGTACTTGGGTGTACACCTGAATGACAACCTCAGCTGAGGCAACAACACCACCAGCCTGATCAGGAAATGTCATCAGAGACTCTACTTCCTCAAACAGCTGAGACAAGCTGGTCTGGGAAGCTCAGTCCTCACCTCCTTCTACAGGTGTGCTGTGGAGAGCATCCTGTGCTCCAGCATCAACGTGTGGCATGGAGGCTGCACAGCTGCAGAAAGTAAAGCTTTGCAGAGAGTGGTGAAGGCTGCACAGAAGATGTTGGAGTCAGTCTCCCCATCATCACATTTACACCTCCAGATGCAGGAAGAGGGCTACCTGCATCATGAAGGACCTCACTCACCCAGCACACACACTTTTTGCCCCGCTCTCCTCAGGAAGGAGGTTAAGAAGCATTAAGTGTAGAACCAATAGACTGAGGAACAGCTTCTACCCTGAGGCTGTTACTCATGAATCTCTGACCAGAATAAGCACTGAAAAAATTACATGTTGCTAATCTGTTTCATGTGTTCATGCGTACTCATCTACTCTCATGTTCGTGCTGCTGTTCGACATGTTTTTATGCCATTAGTGCTTAGTGCATATTTGTTTTAGTTCATATCTTAGACAGTTTCTTTTACATTTTGTGGGATGTAACTGGAACCCTGTGTACATCGTTTCGTTCCATCACATATACCATGGGGTGCGAATGACAAAGAACTTTGAATCCTTAAATCAGTTAAACTGCATTAATATTTAACGGCTATAATTTAAATGCTTTTCTATGGTGGTCTTGTACAGCTCCGACAGTTTCATATACACACACACACCACACTTAGAAATAAAGTGCAAAGTGGTCACACAACTCAGTGAATTTACAAGCAAATGTTTAAAGTAGTTTTTTCCCCCCCCCCCCCCACACTTCATGTGGAGGAATGAAATGTACACAGAAACCGAGATACTTTCTGCACCGCCTGGGTGACCTGGAGGAATTGCCAAAACATCCAATGAAGCTCCCAGGATTCATCCAAATCAGATATTAAAAACCACTGGAGCTACTTTTAATACAGTAGATCAACCAGGCGCTGCCGAGGGGAGCAGCAGCTTTACAGAGTTCCCCTGGGTGATAAGCAATTCAGTCTCATCTTGAAGGCAGAACCCAACAAACTTAGATGAGCTGCATGAATCCACAATTCTTGTCCTTTCAGTCATGACCAATAGTCATTGATGAGCATTAAAAATGTAGACTAGTATGGTTTTGCTGAACTCCTTTACTACAGTTGAATAGAGCAGCACTTTTTACTGCAAATGAAACCCAATTCAGTCTATCAATCTCCTACACTTTGTACAAAATTCCCCAGATATTTAAAATCCTCCACCATAGTGGGAGCAGTCCACCTTTTCCAGTTAACTAACAGCTTTGTAACTCTGACAAGTCCAAAGACTATTCAGCCCCAGGGACCAGTAAAGTGTCTGTCATGCATTAAGACAAACACCAAAATTCAGCTGAAAATGTTTATTTAGATCAGAACAGGAAGAGAGTCTACATGTTATAAACACCAAAACTTTAAATAGATTTGAGGAAATAAAAAGTAGAGTTCGTTTAGTAATCCGATTAGAGTAACTGATGTATCAAGATTTTGCACTTCAGGTTTTCTTCTGGGTCCTTTAGCTCTTGCCCCCCAGGGAGTGCTTGTCAAACAGGTACTCTGCCAACTTGTTGGTGTTGGCATTCATGCGGGTCAGGTTAGTGATGTAATCACCCAGCTTCTTGATGGTCTCCACCTGCTCATTCAGGTAATGAGTCTCAAGGAAGTTGCACAGCTGAAACCAAGAGGTCATTTATTAACTTGTAAAGACATTTTAGACAAGTTGTAAATGTGACAGGCAGTGCTTCAAGTTCAACTTACATGGGGATCTGTGTGATCAGAGGCCAGTTTGTGCAGATCCAGCAGGGCCTGGTTAACCTTCTTCTCCAGCTGCAGGGCGCACTGCATGGCCTCCAGGCCACTTCCCCACTCCTCACGCTCAGGTTTCTGAAGGAAACAAACGTCATTCTGAACAAAGTTTCATCAAAAAGGAGTTCTTGAAATAGTCAGGAACAGAGTTTCATCAAAAAGGAGTTCTTGAAATAGTCAGGAACAGAGTGATAAGATCAGCTTTCCAGTTTGTGCTCACCTTGACATCCTGGAGGAAGATGCGTCCTCCCCTCTTGATCTGGAAGTCCATCAGCTTCTCAGCGTGCTCCTTCTCCTCATCGCTGTCCTCCTTGAAGAAATGAGAAAAACCTGGAAGGGCCACATCATCTCTGGAGAAGTAGAAGGCCTGTTGGTGGAGACAAAATAAAAAATAAAAAATAAAAATAAAAAACACCCCCCCCCACAGGAACACTGGTCTTAATCGTTTATATATTCAAACACCTCAGGAGTTCATTTTACCTCCAGTAAAACTGGAGGGACTGTTCTTACCCAAAAAAGGTGTGACAGCAAAGTTTAAAACCGAAGTACTTTGGTGTGTTGTTCCAACCAGTTAGATGAAATATACCTTTCAAAAGTAGCACCTTCATTTTTCTGGTTGGGGAACTGCTGCTTACAATACTGAACTAAAATCAAATGTTTAAGAAATAATAATTCCAGCATATAAAAAGTTCCAGTCAGGTATGATGGTGTAAAGTGGAGTTTCTTACCATGGAGGTGTAGGTGTAAGAGGCAAACAGCTCCAAGTTGACCATCTTGTTGATGGCGGCCTCGCAGTCGCGGTGGTAGTTCTGACGCACCTGAGAATCCATTTCAGCTGTAGGTTTTTCTGCTTTTTCTTAATAATACAGTAGAAAACTGTGCTGGCTGGTGGCCTGAAAATGTGGGAGGAAGGAAGAAGGTCCGTTCAAACACTGCTGAAGCAAGAACTCCTTGAGGCTTTGTTCCCTGGAATGAATGGAGGTGAGAGCTGCCGCTATTTATACTCCATGGGGTGGGGCTCATGATAGACATATCACTTCTTCTTGTGGTATTTATTGGCAGTTGGTAAACAACTTAATGGTGCATTACCGCCACCAACTGGTAAGGAGTGTGGATCAGGACTCATATATACTAATAATACTGGGGGGAAAACTAGAAAATACTACAGTATAATCATTAATTAATTCCTTTCAAATAAACCAGTTCTTCGAAGAAACTGCAATGTCAATGGATAACATTTCTCCTCCCTCAACACTTCTGAGAATTTGTATCTTATTTGAATCTTTTCAAGGTTTTGAGTAAGAATATATATTTCCTTATCGTATTTCTTACAGTGTAGCATAGCATGCTCTACTGTTTCTTCCTGGTCACAAAAGCTACAATTTCCTGTTATTTTTCCCCATTATAAAGAGTGTGCTGTTCAACCCAGTGTGTCCATCTCTGAGTCTTGATATTATTATATCTTCTCTCCTGTTTTTTTCTCCCACTTCTCATTTCTCCTACTTTCCTTTGTGTCTTATGAAACCTGTTGATATTTTCTGGGTTGTTAATATAAAAAAGTTTGATATGTTTACACAATTTACAGTTTACTTTAAAATGATAAAGTGTTTGCCTGCAGTTTTAGCTCTGAGTCTCAGAAAGGATCAGTACTTTGTGGAAATGGAAACATTGATACCAGTTTATTTTGTTCATCAAGTTTATCATCATACTTGTTAGTCATTTTCTTTATATCACACTCTGTTAAAGCTTATCAGCTAAATCCCTTCAGCATCAGTGTGTGAAGCTTTGTAACTTCCGTTTCTCAAACCCAGCTTCAGAACCAGTCACTGACCACAAACGTACTGTCCGGTTTTTTCTCTGAAAAGATTGCAAATGAGGTAATGGCTGTTGTGTCAAAGCAAGATCTGTTACGTGTGAAGATGTATAAATGAAGCTGCATTGCTCATGTTTTTAGAGAACACACAAGATTTCTTGGGCTGCGTTTCCATTCCATGTGTTCTCTCCTTCTGCAGAAGAGAAATAAACCTTGCTACGTGTTTTTTTAACAAAGTTCTCTGTCTGCTAAATTTTATTGAACAACAAAGTTTGATAAAACTCCACAATTTGGCGTTACGAACAGGATTTTTGCTGGTCCGTCCACTCAGTGGGACCCAGGACGGTGGCTGATCACCAAGAATCGCAGGATTCTTCCTCTAAACCTCTGCTAGTCTTTAAGAGCGAGGGGACGTTCTGGTTTTCCATCGGGAGGATTTGACCTCGACAGAATTCGAAACAGACTGAGACAACAAAAACAACTACTTAAGGTAAACTGAAAAACTTTTTAATATATAACAAAGTAGGTTTTTAAAATAAAACCGAGGTAGATTTGCATAACACAGATCGAGGTAGGTTCCTGATAAGGGACTGAGAAATAAATAGAACAAAAGTAGGTTTTAAAAAATAAAACCAAGGTAGATTTTGTATAAAATCGAGGTAGGTTCCTAATAAGGGACTGAGAAATAAATAGTGGATAATAAAATAAGGAAGCACCAGGAAAATTAAACAAAAATGGGTGCAGGGAAAAGCAAAGTAGAAGATTATATTCCTTGCGGTCCAGAAGTGGCCCATATGCGTAGATTACACGGAGATTTGTGTCTCAGTTTTATTTCAAAGTGGCATTCTAAATTTGGTGGTGCGAACAAAATTATGTACACAGGGTCCCAGTTACATCCAACAATAAAATGTAAAAGAAAAACAATAATAAGATTTAAGATAGGAACTAAGAAAAGCATCAACTAAAAATACACTAAGCACTAATAGCATAAAAACATAACGTCGAACAGCAGCACGAACATGAGCATGAGTCTGTGTGAGCAGATGAGCACGCATGAACACATCAACATGAAGCAGATCAGCAGCAACATGAAACAGATCAGCAGGAACATGATGTAATTTTTTCACAGTGATTATTCTGGTTAGAGATTCATGAGTCTAACAGCCTCAGGGTAGAAGCTGTTCCTCAGTCTACTGGTTCTGCACTTAATGATCCTCAACCTCCTTCCTGAGGGGAGCGGAGCAAAAAGTATGTGTCTGGGTGAGTGGGGTCCTTCATGATGCAGGTGGCCCTCTTTCTGCATCTAGAGGTGTAGATGTCTGTGATGGTGGGGAGACTGACTCCAACAGACTTCTGTGCAGCCTTCACCACTCTCTGCAAAGCTTTTCTTTCTGCAGAGGATGCTCTCCACTGCACACCTGTAGAAGTAGCAGTACAGAATAGTAGTACAAGTAAGTAGTAGTTTATTTTACTATTTATATAGATATATATTAAAGCATTTTAAACTCTTCTCATACTCTTGCAATATTCTAAACAATGTTTCTAAACGCTCTAAAAGAGCACAGCATGTCATGATTTCAGCTCCCTGCCTCCTCTGCGTTTGCCACCTGCAAGCACTCTTGGCCACGCCAACTTCTCCACTCTGCATGCTGAACATCTGATCAGCAGTTCAACTACAGCAGGAAGTTTATCTTGCTTTAGTAAGAGCTGCACAAATGTGCAGCAGGTGCTAAATAATTTTAAATAATTCATTTTAAATAAAAATTCCATGCCAATCATGCAGCTCATCCATCAGCCAATTGTGTGTCATGTCCAATCTTATTTTGAAAAACCATGATAGAGGGAATCCGTGATAAACGAACCGCAAAGTAGCAAGGGATTACTGTATAGTTGACTTCAATGTTGCTCTAACCACATCCGACATTTCTCACAATTGTACGTTTTCAGAAGACTCCAGCAGGAACTGTTATTTTAGGTAATTTCAAACAGTCCAGAATAGATTTGTGCCTGAAGTCGTTTTCTCTTATCCCCGAGGTGTCGTTCTGTCTCATCAGAGACAACGCCTGGAGCAGCCACTCCTTCCTGGAGATTGGGATGGGGCGAGGCACCAGAAATGGGGGTCTCTGGTGTCTGAATGCTGCTCTTCTCCAGGATGAAATTTACAGAGGTAAGATCGGTGTCCTACTGCAGACACTGACTGGGGATGGATCACACAGACAACCTTTTAGAATAGTTGGAACAAACCAAGCAAAAAATCACAGTTAAATTTAGCAAGCAGAAAAAAATGGAGAGACAAACAAACTAAACACAACCTGAGAAAACAGCTAAATGCATAACTAGATCATTTAGAAAGAGACAACACCAGAGACATCACAAACTACGTTTCATTAAAGGAACAGTTGGAGGGAGTCACATGGGACAGCCGAGGAAGATGGCAGCACGCTAGCAGAACTCCGGAAACCGACAATTTTTTCTTGCATTTATTTTGAATATACACCTCTCAGTTTACCCGGACAGAAATACATCCGACACGCCAAATTCTAAAGTCTTCATAAGAGGTCAGATATTAATAATTTACCAACGGAATGTCAAGCAACAACAAAGCTAACTTTTTCAAAGGTGCGGCAACGAGAAGCAAGCTAGCAGCTAGGACCAGCCCCACGTCTGAAAGCACTTCTGCTAACCCGTTGACAAACTTAAGCTGCACTGAAGAGAAACATACGGACCCCAAATTCATGGAAGAAATACGGAAAATGAGCGCAACACTACAAGTTGTAGCGGCAGATGTTGTCTCGATTAAAGAAACAAAGAGCTTAAAGACTCCGTGGAAAATATTCTTTTTTTTTTTTTGATGGCCTCCCTTCTCCCCTTACAGCCATCCTCTCCACACCATTATTATGAAATATTTATTCTAGTGACTATCTAGTGTAGGTTTTTATAAAAAAAAAATTATTTTTTTATAATAGGATAGAAAGAAAGAAAAGACAAAGTAAGACTCCAAAATATAAGAAATATACACAAAGAGAGCACACGGCAAAACACCCGGCCACTGTCTGTTCACCTGCAAAGAACATGACAAAACACAGCAACAAAATACATATGTATAAAGAACTTAAAATATTCATGGCTTTGCAGTAAGTTTCCATAAATATATATGCCCATACCTACGCCTATATACATACATACATACACATGAATATACATTCATATACATATCTATATATCTACATATAAAGCCTACATAAGCATCCCTGCTTCTATTTGTGTGTGGTTGTGAGCATGCATAAGTGTATAAGGCTTCTCTAATAGAACATTTAATAGTAACTGTGAAGCAGCAGAGACCTGACCCCCAAGACCAGGGGCAGACGAAAAAAGGGGGGATCAGAGCCCAAGACCCCAGGAGGGACCCCGACCGCGGAGCCCCCACGGCCACCCACACAGGACGAACCACTCGCCCACCCCCCAGATCGGACCACAGGGGAGAGCCGGAAGATCCCCACCAGCGACCACATACAGTGACCCCCCGGGACCAACAGCGACGAACTCATAGGCCCCCGCCGGAACCCGCCGCACCGATGCAGGTCCAGGCCCGGGCACGGAGGCCCGGGCACCGAGGACTCACACCACCCAGGCCAAGGCCTGACAGGGCCAGAGGACCCGAGCCCCACCAGGCAGACACCAGGCCAAGCCGACACACGCCCAAGCGCCCAGCCCCTGACTCCAAGGGCCCCAAGCGTGCCGGCAGGCAAGGGCACACCCCACCAGTGGGCCGCGCGATAGGGGCGCGATGCCAAGCACCCGCAGTTGTATCAAAGAGGGGGCAGTCCGAGTCTCGGCCTAACAAATACCCATTCATACACAGACACAATCACACAGTCCCTGCCTCATTCTCACACTCACTCACTCAAAGACATACAATAACGATACATTTCATTCTTATTCCCGATACGCACTCTATACCCCCCAGGTCCAAGACATGTACCCGCCCTCTACAGGGGGCAGCCCATGCCCAAACCCAGGAGGTAAACCCATTCATTCTCGAGCGGAGAAGAGCCAATATCCCAGACCCGGCCCAGGCCATGCCCAGCTGACAGGACACCCCCCACCATGAAGAGGACACGCCACCGACCACCCCCACACACTGCCAACAACCAAG